TTTTTATAATAATATAATTTTATAATTAAATGTCTAAAGGAATATTAGTATGTAAACAAATTTTATTAATATGTTATATTATATAACTGATGCAACCTTGTTTCTGTTATAAATATAATGACCATGTTATTTTATAAATACTGATAAATTATTATTTATATTTTATTTCTAAACTGAAAATAATATTCACATAACTGAGATCGTATATTTTACAAAATACTGTCCAGGTAAAAAATATTGTTAAACATATTCCTACAAAATATTATATTTATGAGAAAACAAAGAAAAAAGAAAAAAAAATGAAAAACACCAATAATGTAAATCGAAGCAAGGATGAGAGTATGTGTAAAGATGTTTAATAGTTTTTTTACATTAATGATCGCGTGTCCATTTTGAAGAGTAAGGATACTATGTCAACCTTCTCAGTTACGGTCCTTGACGAGCAGAGCAGGTAATCGTATTATTGTCGTTAATTGCGACATTGCCTGCACTACTACTGCCGAGAACTTTCTCCCCAGGTAGTGCAAAGTACCGGGACAGGTTTATGCAGATTGCTTTATAACTTTGTTACCGATCATTCTATTAACCTTAGGACCCTGTAACTGTTAGATACTATCCTGTCGAATGATTTTGTCGAAACTATGAAAGAAGGGTGAAGAAGGGTAGTGAAATCTCTGATAAGAATCAATCGGGTATCATCGTTTGTGCTTTTATCTAAACGCTTTTAACGACCATCATTTTTCCGAAGTTTTTGCTACTTTTTTTTCAAGCTAAAATCATTATTTTGCCAGATCATTTTTGTGATTATCAGTTGTTTCAAACTCTCCAAAAATGATAGTAAATTAGAATTTATGGAAATCATTAGTTGATTTGTTTGATCAAATGACTTCACTGCGAAAAATTATAAAATGTTACAGGAAATTGGCAATAGAACTTTTACTGATTACTTGTGTTGTATATTAAATGGTATTATACAAACAAGTGATTCGAAAAATATTTGAATTCTCGATTTTAGGATGAAGTTAGCGATTTATTTAGTGAAGTGTTATGATGATGAAAATTGCATTTATTATTATAAGCAATTATTATGTCGTTACATGTCATCCACATTTTTCTTGTATTAATAAAACTATTTTTGTATGTTTTGTATATCATTATTTTCTTCACACACACAAACCCTAATAAAAACAATAGTATTATTTCAAAATTGATCAGTATCGATATTTACTGTAATTATGTATTTTTACTATTGGTTGTGTTGAGATCACCGGTGAACTACACGGCGGTCAACGTGTTAATAACTATGATCAATAAAATTGTTCAGTGTTTTTTTGCTTAGTTTTCATATTAAATGATGAATAAAACGGATCACATCAGATAATAATGTGCAAGTGACACGTGGAAATGAGAAAAGCGTCCCGACGAATGACAATCAGGAAATACCGTACTAGGGATAAGAAAGAGGGTCTTTAAACTGTGACCGAAAGCAGTCAGATGGTTCCCGCAGGATATGTTCACTTCAAACACACATTCCCAAGTGAAAAGCGCACCTGGCTCCTGTCTAACGTGTAATTGAAATTCACACCGGGCAAAAGATTTCACACTTTGGTTTTTTATCATTGTCAATAATTGATTTAATAATTTTGATTATTTTCTCTCATTGTAACTACATTATTATACTTGAAATTATTATCCGATCGTTTAAGAAAAATTGCTGTTTAATTTTATCGGTTTTTGCTCGTCGGAAATTAGAAAAAAAAATAGAACTTAAAACTTTTTGATATAAATAATGATATAATTCAAAATTGAATACTAAATAATATCTGTTTCTTGTATTAATCATGAAATAAATTAAACAAACAATCCCCAAATATACAATATTAAAACAATACAACTTAATCGATACTCATTTTCACTAAAAATTACGAAGAAACAATGAAGTTCAAAATAACGCACACAAGCGTACGATAAAATTTATTATTTTTTCCAAACAATCATTTAAATATTTTTCTACGGTATACAAAAATAAATTGTATAATTTCGAATCAGTGGGGATAAACAAGAAAAAAGAAACAAATATATAAAATATAAACTGAGAGTAAAATATAAAAAAACACAGAAGCCAAAGTACTTACCCCGAAGTTGAAGAGAACGTTAGACGGGATTAAAAAGTCCGTGTTAATCTAGGATACAGTTAGAAGTTGTTAGTTGAATCAGCCTTCGTGGAAATGCGGTGCTCCCAGATGGAAACCCCACAGGCGATTGATAGCGATAACAGCGATAAGGGTGCATCTCACCCCGGTGTTTCCGGCTCGGGGCCGTCGCTCTACCCACCGTCGTCTGCGTCTCTCTGCGTCTGCTTCTTCAGCTTCCTCTTCTCAATCCTCGAGGAATGGTCGCGCGCGTCAAAAGTTCACTTGGGCGCATGCACCAAACCAACTACCTAACTAACCCAACGAACGAACGAACGAACGAACCATTCTTCATCCCCCACTATTTTATACTTGCTAACTGTACGCGATAAAATCACCTACTCTCCTATTACTTATGTTCCAGTTCTATTCTCTACGGTATAGTCAATGGTTTTTTTTTGAAAGGACTAAATACTTCTAAAAATATATGAAATTTTCATGATTTCATTTATAATTTGTTAATATTTCAGTTACATTTAATAAGTGAATTATTTTGTAAGAATTATATAAGAATCGGGTGATTGTATATTAGAATTAATTAACAATTAATTAGTCGCTGAATGATTTTATTTTGGTATATTATCTGGAATATGAAATTTAAATGATTTGGTTTTAAATTTGGAAGGGTATATGTTTGAATTTTTATTATTGGAGAATTATTATATTTTCTAGAAATTATATTGGAAGATTATATTTAAACTGTTCTTGTTGTGTTCTATGGAATAATTAGTCAATGATTTTCTTTCTTAATAAAATACGTAAAATATAACGATTCAATAATTAAATTAAACATTTATTTTTTCATTTTTGTGTTTCATTAATTTAATGAATTATTTTTATAAAAATCATTGAGTAAGTATTTAGTATTCCTCTTTTCTGTGTGTGTATTATCTTAATTAATTTTTATAATTATAATAAAAAAAAAACAATGTGGATGTGGAAATGAATGAATGAATTAATCGAATTAATTCACGGTATACCGATTAATCAAATGAAATATTAGGAAAAATTGCTTAAAAAGGAATAATAGACTATTAAAATTCTGACGCTCATGGTCGCGAAATGAGAACATCTAAGTATAGTAAAGGAATGTAATGTGCGACCAAAAGGAATGCAAAGATCTCGAAGAATTCTCAATATGAAGGGATCCCTCAGCTTGAACTGGCTCTTTATTAAGATGCCTTTTATCACGTACCACTACAAATCGAAATACGTCGATTTTGAGTAGATCATACTTATAAATGATTCTATGAAAAATTGTCATTTTAACATTAAAGTATATTTAAAGGGTTTTCGATTCAATAATCTATTCATACATTTTATCAATAAATTTTATTATGAAAAGAATTCTTAGACAATATTTACATAACATATGACCCCCATATATGTTGAATGAAAATAAAAAACTCGAATAAAAGTCCCTAGAAATTGATCAATACTTACCAGCACAATTAATCAATAGGATTAATATTTTATTCGTTTTTTTATTATTGATAATTAAAATATATTTGTTTCTTAATGTGTAGCTTTGAAGTTTAAAAGGGTTTGCTGATTTTTGATAAATTATAATAACAATTGTTTTATATTTATTCGATTCTTTATTTTTGAAATGATAGAAAAGTTGAAAATAATATCTTGAAAATAGTATCTAATTTTTATTATTCACTGACAATGAGAAAATCCTCTTGGATTTCCACATATCATTGGCTTTAGGATACAGTAATTTTTTACGTCTCCTTTTTATAGCTTTTACGTGATCAGAAAAATTATCCTACTCGTTGAGAGTCTACTTTCGAAAACATTGGCATGATCAAAAAACCTTGTTAACAAAAATAATATTAAACTTTTGCCCTTTAAATACTTCATTCTCCAATTTTTATGTATTTATTTAAAGCAGTAGATTTTTATGCACATAAAACATGAATAATGTGTGAACTTTATACTGGTAAAAAATGTAAATATGTGTAAATTCGCGAATATGTCAAATATAGATTTATTAGTTGTTTAATTATTCCGTAATTAATGAAAATTGAGTTCATTTTCACTTTCATTCAACTTCTGTCTATATTTGACATATTCAAAACTCTATTAAAAAAACATAATGCACAAATATTTAAATTAATATTTACAAAACATATGTGACGTACAGAGTGTCCTAAATTTAATAAAATTGTGAGAGAGTATAATCTACGTTACAAAAACAAAAAAGTGAAATGAAGTTTGTGAAAAACACTGTTACAAAATTATGAACGAATTACTTATGAGAAATTCTGAAAACTAAAAAAAGGGTTCCCAATTAAAAATTACTTTCTTAATTCTCTAACAAAAGGGTTATTACTTGACAAATTTTATAAAACATTTTTTCTGTGTTTTTTTTTTTTTTAAATATAAATGAAGTCCTCTCAATTTGATCGTCAAACTTTTTGGGACACACAGCTTTGATAAAACATAATAATTCTTATTGAATATACTTATGTGTATAAAAATTCATATATTTAGTTCTGAATGTGATAGTAAAATAATTATTGAATAATTGCATACAAGTTTATGATTTAAAAAGTTTTTCGATTACCACCTGTGGAGTCGAAGTCTCGGGAAGGTGACATATAAATTCCAGGCACAGAAAGCGAACTCACTTGTTGATTTTATCAAGCTCCCGGGAGGAAAACATGCGAGGTAGTGCAACTTGTTGCTAAAACTGAATCCTCTTCGTTGAGCCGATTTGGTATAGTAGTTGACGTCATCGTTTATTATAAATAATCGTCTTAAAGGTACGATAAGTTGAAATGGATAAAAAAACAAAAAAAAATGGACTTTTTTCAAAGTGAAGTCACGATCACGGATACACTGGTATGAGTAATTAGCAGTTGAATCGGTCCATTGTTCGGGAATACGTTAAATGAATAAAAAGTTTTGAAAAGTTTAAATGGTTCTATTGTTACGGAATGGAAATTAAAAATAAAAAAAAAAAAAACTGTTCATTGGAATTTTATAAATTAGAAAGTTTATTTGAAATGGCTGTGATTTTACTTTGTTGAAATATTTAAATATTTTTCATAAGTAGTATAAATAAATGATTAGAATTATATTATATTAATTAATATAAAAATGCAATGTCTTGATCTATGATTTTTTATAATTAACTAATATTAATATGTATATTTTGAATACCCCCCACACACACACACACACATATTGTATAACATATTAATCAATTATTTATCATATTTAGTATATTTTTAACGTAAATTGGCATATTTTATTTGTATAAATGGTACACATTTTCTTGTATATTTATCATGCATAAACATTGAAATTAGAATATGCAATTCTGTATTTCGCATTTGTAAGCTTATATTGATTTACTTTTTCTATTTTTTTTATTTTTTTATAACAAAATTTAGAAAGGTAGGAAAGAAGGAAGGAAACAAGAAAGTAAAGGAAAGGAAAGAAATATGGTGATAAGTTAAAAAGGAAGAAAATAGAATGAACAATGATAAAGGAATCAAATAAAATAATAGAAATCGGATAAAAGTTTAGACGTTGAAGGACCCCCTGGGAGTTGTTCCGCCTTTAGGGTTTATTGACTTGAAAATCTTGACTTGATTTTGATAATGATAAGTATTCCTCCTTCATTGAGAACTCAGTAGATCCCGAAATGAAAGAAAATAGAAATATTTCATCTGATTTAAACGAATTGTTTGTGTCAAGGTTCGAAACGGTTCCATTTTCTATCCAAATGAATGATAACCAATTGTCGAGAATTGCAATCGTGTTTTGTTATTTCTAACATCCTTGAATATCCCAATTCGTTCATTTGAATTTATTTTTATGTATGTGCAAGTTTTTAATTTCTGTTCTTCGTAGGAAGAGAATGCAAAATTTGCACTTATTTTTCTTGAAAGTTCAAATCTTTGCAATCAACTGTTAACAAAAAAGGAAGAAAACAAATGTGAATATGTTTAAAATTTACGAAAGCAAATTTTAAAGTGTTGCAATCAATACGACAGTACGTGTATAGAAAAATTGATTATCATTGTCAAAACTAAAAAATTTTATTTTTGAAGAAAATTTAAAATCAAGGGGTTCTCATATTACAGACAATTATTGATACACGTGTATGTGTATATGTATGACGTTTTGACGAAAGTAAGACGAGCAGTAGACGAATCAAGACGCGTCGTGAAAGATTCGTTAAGCGAAGCAGAGACCAAGAGACCAGGGGGGTGTGTAATCGAATCGGCGTGCAACTTCAGCCCTCGGAAGTGAATAGAATTCAATGAGCGAATACTATTTGCGAGAGAGACGGAAAGAGACGAGAAACACATATATATATACACACACATACCACAAAAGCAAGAAGGCATTATGAACACTTTCTAAGTTTCCTAACTTTGAACTAACTTATTACCAATTAGATAAAATGATTTTAAGATAAAATTAAGATTCTAAATTTCGTTGGGTTGTCCAACGAGTTTTTACCAAATTATATATTTTTTTTTAATTTAAATACGTTTTTCTCTCAGAGTTTTTGGGAAGACATTACGGAATGCCATTGAATGCCGGAAAAGTTCGTACCGATTTGGAGAATGTCACAATCAATTTTTTGGTTTAATCTAATAATTAAAATTTTGATTTAGAATGAGTCAGCTTACCGCTTATGTTAAAAATAGTTTTTTCTTTTTCATGAGACGATAATGATAAAGCAAGGAAGTTTTAAATCCTGATTGTTTCGTCATCTTGCAAATGGGGTTAATTGAAAGGTTTTCTCGACACAGTGCTGATCATCGTCCACTTGGCAATGAAAGACTTTACTTTAATTTTAACTAGATAATTTTCATTGATATCGGGTCATAGTATTTCCTTCCTTCTTCCTACGAAGATGACGAGATGGTAACGATTAGTCTGATTTGGATTGTTTGTTTATGCCAATTCATGTCGTTGTTATGGTAACGTGGCGTTTGCGAAATGGACGATCGATTTATCTCTTTCCTTTCTCTATTTCTAGTTTTTAATTATAGGGTTGCATCATTTTTTAAGTGACCGACAAAGGACGGAACAGATATCGTCCGAATAATGTTTTTTTTTTGTTATTGTCAGGTTTTGTATTTCATGTTGCATATCGTTGGATTCACCATGACAGCCGCTATCAGAAAATAAGTACCAAAATATAGCATTCCATTAAAAAAATCTTAGAAGCGACTAAAC